GATGAACTTAGGAAATACGATTTTCCGTATATGCGCTATCTTACTTGTCTCCATTTAATTTGTCCAAAGCGAGAATTTCAGTTATACGCGGTACGCTGCAGAGCGTTGACGATATTACAATAACAACATACTCCTTACAAAACTTCAAGCGCATACTCTTTCGACGTATACTCTTCAAGCGTTTACTGTTCATCTGTGTTCTGTGTTAATCTTTGAGCATGTGGCTGAAGAGCAAATATTCTTTTTGTGTCTTCGTTCTGTAACTGGAAAAAGTGGAAAAAATATTAATATCTTATACTGAGAATCAAGTAAACGTAAACGGCTCAGTAATGAATGGTACTGCTGTTTGAAATAAAGTTTTAGATTCGTTAATATGGCCGATCTCCAGAAAAACTGATTTTCAAGCAAGCAACGGTTAGCTCGAGAACTTTAAGCTTCGTTTTAATTTCCATAATGCAAAGCTTCAGGGAGAAGCTGGCTTTGCAGTTAAAGAAGCAGCAGAGAAATTCAAACCTTAATTTTCGAAGTTCATTGAATATAAGGATTACGTTCGGCAACAAGTTATGCGGATAGGACGAGCCTATTTTCACAAAGACACAAAAGTTGCCTAAGTTTTAAAGCTTTTAAGGATAATTCACTTTGATTTTTTGTTGAAATGCATCAGGCGACTTCAAGCACAAGCTTTGCTCATTTATCGATCTAAAAAACACCTCATGCATTGCAAAGAAAAACTTTTAAGGTTTCGCCGTTGTGTGGAAGTGGGATAGCAAAGCTTGGATAACAAAAGCATTTTTTCATGAGTGGCTTGAAAATAATTCTTTAAACAAGTAAGGTAGTACTATTTAAAGCAGTACAATTTCAACTTTTACACCCAAATCCTAATCCTCAATAATTGTCCAGGACAGCAAGTTGAAGCTCTCATAACATCGCATTCAGATTGTGGAGACTTCATTCCTTCCACGAAACACCACATCCTTAGTCTAATAAATCAAAAAGTCAGGAAACCATTCAAAGCCTTTTATGTCAGGCATGTTTATATCTTTGCAAATGATAAAGCACTGGACGAAGGAAAGCACGAGACACTATATGGCATTTTGGATGCAATTCAACATGAGATACTGCATAGAAATTATTAAACTCAAACGGGAACAAATAAATTCATCAACAATGAATGCTGGTTGAAATCAGCTCCGGCCAGAAACTGTCAAAAAATTTTAAAATATTTCTATCAGTTGAACGTGAGGCCAAGAATATCGTACAATTGCAAAAGCAAGAGGTGGCGAAGGAATTTCAGATATGGAAAGAGCAGAATCAAAGAATTAAAGAGAATGATGATCTGGAAATAGAAAATGAAGAACTGGATGATCTTGTGCATTAATTAATCACACCAGTAAATGGTGAATGTAACGATAGTGAAGAAGATGGATAACGTTTGAGCTACTTAGAAGTTAAACTAATTGCTTAAAAAGGTATAGGAATTGTCTGATTTTGTAATGAAGATTGACCAAATGAAAACAGAAGAGGATACTTTATGAGAAGGTTTGAAAAACTTTGCATTTTTACTACGAAACGTTTAATGAGTTGCGTCAGATATTGTCGCAAGCAAAAATAAGCAATTGTTTAAAAAATAATTGCATCACGTACACTGCGGGGGGGGGAAAGGACAGTTCTATATCTCCCGTTCTACTGGGCCAATAGACGAAATTCAACTTACGTTTTTCATGTCTCGAAAGCGCGACTTAGGGTATATATTAGATTTATATATAACGTTGTTCTAATATAGGTATTTTGGCACAAACTCGGACTTTTTCTAATATGACATGCCAATTTTTTTTCGATATTTCGATTCTACGACCCAAATTATACCAAACTGCCACGTTTTGTAAAAATCGCATGAGCAACTTCTAAAAAATTAGCTCTCAATATTAATTGAATTTGATATATATTTATTAATATCTGTTTTTTATCAAATTTACTTGATGTCTTCTTACAGAATTCGAAATTTACACTTAATCCAAATATAATTTATTTTTTAAATTTGTATTTTAAAATATTTTTTACAAATTTTTCAAAAAACTGCTTGTATTATAATCCATAAAATTTTTTACATCTTCTTAAAGTAGATTTATTTCTAGGCACACCTGCGAAAAATTCGAGTTTTTTTATTCAAAATTTTCTAAGCTATACAAGAATTTACATATTGGAGCGTTTTGAAGCATCTTTTCTTTTTGAGCGATAATAACGCCAAATGTTGTTTACGCACTTTGTTAAAATTATTTAAAAGTATGATCTATGACTTTTTTCCCGCTCGTCTACAATGAAAAAAAGAAAAGGAAAATAGGTTGCTATAAATTTAGAAGTTCGCCAAGTAAATTACTTTAGGCGCAAACTGAAAAAAATACGCCAAGATAAATTTTCGAATTGTCTGATCTTGTGTCTAAATATCTATTTTTGAGTGATGCTATATATAAATCTAATATATATCTCAAGTCGCGCTTTGGAGACATGAAAAACACAATTTGAATTTCGTCAATCGGTCTAGTAAAACGGGAAATACAGAACTGCCCGCTCGCTTTTTTTTGCAGAGTACCTACTTATTACGCAGAAATAGAAAACCTTTCAGTTGTTTCACGTTTCTCTTTTAATTACAATGACATTTAATTTATATAAATTGTACATACTTTCTTAATCTGAACTACACCTAATCCGTTTTTTTCCATAGAAAGTTAATTTTGCGGAACGCGATTTGGTCGTACGCGCAGTGTATTAATGATCTAATTTTCGAGTTCGGCAAGCGTTTACTATATTAGCATATTCTCCCTGGGGGTCGATTGGGGGCAACTCCCGGCGTTCTGGCTAGGTCAGTACTTAAACAGACTCGACTTCTGGGGTAAAGTTAACAGTCTTCACAATGACTAGAACTATCGTTTACTCGGTGGTAGATTCAAGCTCAGCATATATCATATGGTACTGTCTTGTCTGCCCCTTGGTTGTGGGGACGTTAAGGGGTTATCACATCTAGCGACGATCTCCGTCAGATGGAACTTTTCTGAGAAACGAGATTCTGGTAACATTGGTTTAAACGGGAGAATTCCTAGAATAAAAAGCTCCGCTGGAAGCGAAGTCTCGCCTAGCTAAGGAAACGATGTCCCGGCTACGCGGGGTATTTTGAAACTTCGCCGAAAATGTTCCGTCTGCAGCTCTGTCTCAGGTAGAGATCAACCAATCAGACGAAAGTTCTCTGCTTCTGAAGGATCACGCGATCCCAATCTGAGCGATGATCGTTTACAGTTTGACGTTCAAGTCTGTTAAGTAAGTGAAAATAGTAACCTAGCTACGTAGGTTTCCTGGAAATGTGCGGGTTCTGAGAAATGTCCCTTGTGATGTTCAGCCCGCGCAGCGGAAGCATACGTGATAGGGACTTTACATACATAGTCGGATATCGAAGGTTGGTCCTTGAGAGTTTGACTCTCCTTGGCCAACACTGGGGGATGATCTAACTTTGTTCTCTTCGATTTAAGGTGGATGCGCTGCCGTCCACTATTGACTTTGTGTGCTTAAATCCAGACTGTGTGAAATAAAAGTTCTTCCCCTGGGTTGACAGGGGGTTGTAGCTCCTTGGATGGCTTCTAGGGGTAGAAGCGTTTAACTGTGTAAAGCGGCTTAAATACTAGCCAGGTTTGGGTGCCTCTTAGTATAAAAATCAAAAGAAAAATGTATTAGTATATAAACCAAAAGAAAATAAAGGAAATTATCGTATATATATCTATCTATATCTCTCTCTATATATATGTATGTATAAAATTATTAAAAGAATAGGAAAAGTTGAAGCTTAAATGAAAGTTTACAATTAGTTCCTTATGAAGGCTCTAACCATTTCTTTCTCGAAGAAAATCGAAGCCTAAAAGGAGTACAAGTAAAATTAAACTACAAATATTTATACAATACTGAAAGTAATACGAAATAAAACACTAAAAATTGAAGTATTAATCTTCTCAGTTCAATGCTTCAAACAGAATTTGTCAAGGGAAAAGTGTTTGATGCTTTAAAGCTTTAAACCAAGTTCGTTAATGAGTTACGAATACATGTTTCATTCCTCTGAATCATTTGATTTAACGTTTTTCGAAAAATAATCAATTTTGTTTGTGTTTCTTTCCCATGCATCCATCCTAACTAAAAAAAATAAATGCCTCTTAAAAATTTCCTAAAAAACGCACGTAAATTGCGTTTAAGGCAAAACCACGTACGCATTACAACATGAAAATGGATTGTCTGGTCCGCACTTCTTAAGCAGAAGTATCACCAGAGCCAATAGGCTAAGGAAATTTTCAATTTTGGAGCAAGAGCTCAAAGATCAAATAATGCCAATTAGAATTTTTGAAAGACCTAGTTAGAATTTTGAGGTCTTCTGACTAGGAGATGTGTTGGCCTCGCCAACGTCTTTATTGAAAAAATACATTACATAGCATGTTTTTATATTTACAAAACAAATTATTTTTTGAACATAAATTGAGTTATACAATGCAACATAGAATGATAGGAAGAACAAAGTAAAGAATCAATATTAAGTATTACAATAATTAAATGATTAATAACATGGCAAATAAAAGTACAAAGATATTACATGATACGATTGAATTTACAAGTACAGATCTAATTCATTGTGATATGAGTATTCCAATATAAGTACAATAATATTATATAATACAATCAATTTATAAGTACAGATCTGATTCATTATGGTATATGTATTCCATAAAACTTGATAACAAAGATCGTCCCTTGTCGTTCTTAATTAGTTGTTTTAGAGTTTCTAAAGTTATATTTTGTTTGAAAATTTCTCTACGTTTTGTTGATACACTGGAACAGTCTATAATCATATGAAGTGCATCTGCGGATTCACTACCACATTGACACTTGCATGTAGATTCCTTTAGTTTGAATCTGTTAATATAAATCGGAAAGGCTCCGTGATTAGTGATAACTTGATTTAAAAAAAATCACTGAAATGCCGTTTCTCCGAAACATTCGGTAGAAGTGTGAACGTTTGTCGTCCTGATGATGCTATTACTCATAGGGATCTTGCAGTCTAGGTACGTGTTCAAGTAAATCCCTTGTTTGGCTAGCTCGTCGGCTTTTTCATTGCCGGCAGTGCCTTGGTGTCCTCTTATCCAATGAAGCTTTGCTTTTGTAAAAGCCAGTAATTTCTTTATGGCGATAATGTTCTGATTATAGATATTGTATTTATGGATAGACTTTAAAACAGCCTGGCTATCCGAATATATATGCGCAGGACTGGGGTGTGATTTTAACCATAGTAATGCCGACTTTAATGCTAAAGTTTCAGCTTGATATACTGTACTAGTCTTATCCAGTTTAAACATAAATTGATCGTGACAAACTCCATTCATGAAGGAACAGAAGCCAGCTCCAGTGCCGTCTTCACTTTTTGAACCGTCCGTATAAATTTCTAAACCTTTATTGATTGGAGGCTTGTTGTCCCATCCGAAGACTTGAATATGAGCTGGATGAGAATGCCATTTAGGTACTGGGAATTCAATCTGATCCCGTGAAAGTTCTAAGTCCTCATATTTAAAGTCAGTCCATCCTCGTTTGGTACGTTGGATGATGCTTTCCATGTCCAATTTAAGATCAAGCGGCATAATTCCAGCAATCACTTGAAGAGCTGCAGTAGGGGCAGTCTTATAGCTTTTGGTCATTGCAAGAAGTGCTATGCGTTGTATAGAGTTTGTTTTGTTTCGCATTTTTACCGTAGGTGGGTACCACCAGGCAGGACATGTGTATACTATGGTACGCTCTATTGCACGTTTATAAAGTTCTTTCAGAACTGGTTTGGGCATCCCAAGTAATCTAAGAAGATTGTTCATTATTTTACAAACTTTAGATTTAATATAATCTAGATGAGGTAGCCAGGTAAGGCATTCATCTATGACTATTCCAAGATATTGAATGGATTTTTGTTGCTTAATGGTATGATCGTTCATCTTTATTGTCGGTGCTGAATAGGCTGCACCACGCTTTTTGATTGCTATAAAACATAGACTTTGACTTTTCGGGAGAGAATTGAAGTTTGCACTTGAGTGCCCATTCTGATAGTTTTCGCCAACTTTGCCTTGGTTTGAATTTGCATATGCATAGATCCTGTTACTAGGAGTGAAACGTCGTCCGCATAAGCTTGGATGTGGATTCCATCTTCAAATTCGAGTTTTAAAGCTATATATTCATTACTATATTCCAGAATAGTGGTCCAGAGTTGGATCCTTGTACACATCCTTTTTCTTGTTTTATGGAGTATTGAACATTATTTATTTCATAGATTATATGTCTATTATCCAATAAACTTTCAATAACTTTATAAATATTTAGAGGACATCCCAGATTGCGGAGTTCCTGTAGTAGGAACGGCCACCAAATATTGTTGAATGCACTCTTGATATCCAAAGAGATAACGTTGGTGTAATTATTATTACGGTCGGCTTCTATTTGTGAGACTATGTTGTCCTTGATGGCATCTGCTGAGCATTTTCCCGCCGTGAAGCCATATTGTTGTTCACTTAATTTGGAATTCGATACTAAGAAATAAGTCAATCTGTTAGTGATTAATTTATCATAGACTTTACTCCATGCGTTAAGCAAGCAAATAGGGCGGTAAGCATCAGGAAGCTCACCATTTTTTCCTTCTTTTGAGAATAATACTAATTTCGCTGTCTTCCAGCAGTTAGGAAATATTCCTCGACGGAAGAGTTCATTAAGTAACGCTACTTGTAATTGTGGGTTAGCATAGAAAACTTCAGCTATAATTTCTTTAGATATATTGTCCATTCCAGGTGCTTTGCCTGGATTGAGGGATTTGATAGCATTTTCCACTTCTGGAATCGTAAACGGAACATCATTTATTGAATTATATGGATTCCTTAAGTTGTTACGAATTGTCGTATGAAACTCCGTGTCTTCGCTGATTATATCTTTAGGAAAGTGGTAATCCATTAGGAAACGTATAGTTTCTTCTATTGTGGAAGTCTTGGTTTTATCTGGTTTGAGTAACGCTTTTAATTGTAGAGGGGATTGCATAGTCCCCTTAGCAATGTCATAGTGTACCCCGAAGGGTGAACTAGGACTTAGACGCTCCAGATATCTTTTCCAGGTTGTTCTTTTGGCTTGCATAAGCTTTCTTTTATAGAGAGCAAGGTCTTTTTCATAGACTTGCTTATAGTGTGCCCTTAGTTCGTCATCATGAATACATTTGTGATAACGCTTTCTCAAAGCGAGGATTCTTTTTCGTAATATTGAGAGTTCCGGGGTCCACCAAGGGACACCTTTGTGTTGAGTTTTAACATATTTTCCCTTGGCGTGGGTTGCCAAGTCACAGTATTCCTGTATTTTCTGAGTCCACTTAATTATAAGTTGATTAAGATCAACTGTATCTTTAGGCAAGTAAGATTCCATTGAACCAAAAAAGTGACCAATTTTTGCCTTCAGTAAGAGCCAATCCATTTGTGTAAGTTTATATTTGACTCTTTGAGTTGAGCTAGCTAGAATGTTGATACGTAATTTCAAAAGAGATATAACAATGATCACTTAAAGTGATACAGTCCATAACTTTCCAATTATGAATGAAAGACGTGGAAGAGATTGATCTGGAAGCTGTAATATCAATCCAGCTCTTTCCCCTTGTGCAGTTGTAGGTAGGGGGACCATCCGGATCGTTTTCAACAGCCAGTCTATGCATTGTTAAGAATTCTCTAAGTGTGCGTTTTCTGGGATCCTTGAAGGGGGAGCCCCAGAGCACACTTTTCGCGTTTAAGTCGCCAAGGAGAAGAAGATCATGTTGATCGTCAAAGTAAAGTAACGTTCAGCTAAGTTTAACAGAGTAGTTAAATCTGTTAAGTCCGTTATAGGTTGAGTATAACAGTTAAAAATGGTTATTGTCCTATGTTCAATCTTTAATGTAATAACATTTAAAGTAGAAGAAGCGTAAGTATTCAGAACCGTAAGTCGTGGGTTAACCACCACTGTGGCTGTTTTGGGGTGGTCATTTGGAGAAAAAATGTTTGAGTCGGAAAGCCAGACGGCTTGTCATTGATACAGTATGGTTCTTGAATAAAAATCAAGTCGTATTCAAAGATACAAGTCTTTAGTTGTGCTGTTGCGACATGTGATCTCGCTAAATTAATTTGCAACGCTTTTATATTTTGAATAAGTTCTCTAGCCATAATTGATTTTTCTTCGAAGATCTTCAATTTCTAGCTGTCTGCTAGGACAGTCTTTTGAGAAACTTGAGTGCTGCTCGTCAAGGTGCTTATCACTATTCGCATTTCTTTCTGCACAATGAATACATCTTTGGTAGTTATTGTCACAATTTTTGTGGGAATGTCCCACTTCTCCACAATGTCCACATGCCTCTTCTGTTTGGCATTGTTTAGAAATATGTCGGTATTGGCAGCATTTAAAACACTGCGTTGGTCTGATGTATTCTCTTAAATTGAAACGTTCCCAATTAACGCACAGTTTGCGTAACTTAGTAAGTGTTTGAAAACCTCCGGTGAGGTTTCACAAACCCAATGATTTCTGTTCTTATGCTTGATAGGAAATTTAACCTGTAGGCCATCACCATCGATGCCTTCGTTTTGGGCTAAAATGGCTTCCTTAAGTTCTTCCTTAGTCAAGTCCCTTGGAATATCATATATTATAATTTTAGGAAGCCTACGTGTAGGACGAACAATTTGTAGGTCCTTTTTAAGTTCTGGTACAGTATTTATTCTTTTAGCGTCATCTTTTATGCTTTTGTTTTTTTTTTTTTCATGGAGCTTTGGGATTTTAAGAGTGGGTTCCTTTTCCTTTACGTAAGAATACTGAAGATTTTTTTAAATTAAAATTCGGAAAACAAAATTTTAACTCTCGTTAGGTTTAAACATCCCGAGAGTTAACGAAATTACTTTAAGAGAGCTGTATAGAATAAACGAAGTATTTAATTAAAAATAATCTTTTACAATGTTCTAAAATTCTCTTAACAAATATGGCGAGAACAAATGAAGCTTCATTAAAAAGCTTAAAAAATGATGTGATATAGAAAAGCTTAAAAATTATTTCATAGAAAACACTCAAGTAAAACCTTCCTAGAACAGCTAAAATTACAAGAAGAGGCCAAATTAAATTAAAAACCGACCAGGGAAAGATAAAAAAAAAAAAAAAGGGGGGGATGTGCAAATATACCTATCACTTCCTGACCACTGGGAGAGTAATGGAAGTAAAAATGTCTGCCGAATAAGGTTGTTGGAAATTAGAGCAAGCTTTTGAATGGGGTTTACCAAAAAGGGAAATAGGGTGTGTGTCTGTGATTATAGCAAAGCCTCGAGGGCTATCTACCTAAGGGGAGGAATGCCTTCGTAGAGGACTTTGACTTTCTAAGGGTATTTTCTGGCTCGTATACACGTTACGCATGAGGAAAACCACGAAAACGCCCATGTAGACAGCCCGTTCGCGGGATTCGAACCTCAGACCGAACTACCAGTGTTCAGCGTCTTTACCGCTCGGCCGCTGGTGGGCAGAATAAAAAAAGGAGGTGCACAACTTGTTATAACAACATGTAACTTAGACTAGAAGAGAAACACGCTAATGTGACAATCAAAATCGTAAAAACAACCTTGTATTTAGCGTAGGTATAATGAAACACTCAATCGATTTCGAGGGCAGCTAAAGGTCCTTCCTCATCAGGGGAAAGAAATACCTAGAAAGAAGAAAATAAAGGAGAAGGAGTCATAGAAACACGTGGTCCTTATCAGCACTACACGTGGTTAAAACTGGATTTTTAATCAGAGTTGCACTGGCCGCCTACTTTTACTGAGCCAGGCTATCTGATCAAGCATAAAGGACAAGAAAAATTAGCGAAGTTAAAATAGGGAGCGAGGGCAAATGCCTTCACGCTCAAAATCTGAACTTCAAATAATGGAAAGCAACCACTGAACGGATTTTTATACCCTCTGTTAGTACCAAACGCGAGGAGGTAACGCCATCTATCGGCAAAAATAACTGAATTAAGATAGTAGAATTTTAAAGGCATTAGGAAGGACTGGATTGGACTTCAAATCATTAACTAAACCTGCTAAATCTTTGTGAATGTGAAAAGCCTCAAGAAAATCCCATTCACCTATGGAAGAAGCCTTTTGGATAATTTTTGCAGACCCAAAGTCAAAATTATGGTTAAATGTCCAACTATGATACGCTATTGAAGACTTGTTAATTTCGCCTTTTCTGACATAAGATTCATGTTCCTTGATACGAAACTTCAACGCTCTTTTTGTTTGGCCAATAAATATATCTTAAACCACACAGACACGATATACTATAAATTCCGCAAGAATTCAAGACAGAAACACAATCTTTTAGAATCGAAGGGTGAATTTTATTAATAGGGGAGAAACCGACTTGAAAATTGAATTTCTGGAGAATCCGTGCAATTTTATAGCTAACAGAAGGATAAAATGGCAGCACGACAAGGTCATTAATATTATTTCTAACAGTGGAATGTCTTCTTTGATGGGAATCTGAAAATTTTTTAACAGCTTTATCAATAATCACGGGAGAAAATCCACGGTCAATCGCAACTGCTCTCAAATAATTAAGTTCGTTGGTAAGCGAAGATTCAGAGGAACAAACTTTAAGCGCGCGGAATACATAATAGTAAAAAGAAGCCATTTTTTGCTTAACAGGGTGGCATGACTTGGCATGGGGTGGTAAAGAAACTGCAAAGGGTTTACGGTACACAGTGGGGCTAAAATCATCTCTATTTTAACTTCGCTAATTTTTCTTGTCCTTTATGCTTAATCAGATAGCCTGGCTCAGTAAAAGTAAGCGGCCAGTGCAACCTCTGATTAAAAATCCAGTTTTAACCACGTGCAGTGCTGATAAGGACCACGTGTTTCTATGACTCCTTCTCCTTTATTTTCTTCTTTCTAGGTATTTCTTTCTCCTGATGAGGAGGGAC